GAGAGAGAGAGAGAGGGGGGGAGAGAGAGAGACAGCCAGCCAGAGTTGGGGGACGGAGGGAGTAGAGAAAGAAAGTCAATCAAACTAACAGACGAGCAGACAGAGACGGAAAAGAATATGAAGACAGACAAACAGAACAAACAAACAAACAAACAAACTAAAGTATCCGTGGGCAAGACACTGAATGGGGCTTAAATAACACAGAAAAAGTGAGCAGACTCCACTGGGACCCCGACGTCAAACGGCCCCATGTACATGTGTATGTGAGGCAAGCTGACAAAATGAGTTATTTCTCACAATCCATAAATGGAGCTATTTGCCAAAACTAGACTCTAACTAGTGACAAATTTGTAGATTTTTTATGGACGTCATATTATTTAAGTATAACATGCCCTTTAATATTTCATACTTATAAATTGTAAAACTTTCACTCATAAGTATAAGTGTGTTATATCTATTTCCCAAGGGTTCAAATCCGAGAAGTAACTCATTTTGTCAGCACGCCTCACATATAACTTTACACCCCCATCGGCACAATGTAGATTATTTCACCTTATCCGTACGTCGTGTTTTACAATCGTATCCATACGATGTTGGGAACTCTGTGCAGCCACTTTCCAAAGAGGAATTTTACTTGTTAATCCGATCTGTACGCTTTGCATAGTAGTCTGGCAAAGTGTTTTTTTTTTTTAAATAATTAAAGTTTCAAAGAGATCTTCGTCCTTGAAGTATTCTAAAATGTGAGGAATACAACCCCGGGGCTACGATGTATGTAGCAGATCTGGCATTTGAGGATGAGCAGGACGGTAAATTAAAGCAAAACGATAAAATGCAAAAGACAACGTAGTGAAATCAGGCTCTTGTCAAAATAATGAAAGTGAAGAAAATGTCATTTTTCCTTAGGTTTGGCTCAAATTTTAGGTTTTTGGCACAACACCTTCTATGTCCATTTAAGAACACATTTCTGTGTAGATTCTACTGAAAAAAACCCACACCAATTAAAGGCATAAAAAATGTAAATTTTCTTTTCCCACAGACACTCGAGCTAAGGAAATAACTAAACTTTGGCAACCATTTTCTCGCTAATTTTACCTCTGAGACCAGGTGACCCCCACCTTCTTCAATTGTAAATATCTCAACTTGTATTCAAGATAAAGGAATATTTTTTATTGAGAGCAAGACACACGAAAAATCTTTAAGATGATACCAATAACTCCACGTGCCCAAAAAGTGACAAGCGCCTGATTCCTCCGCGTCGTGACACATATAGTCTATCCCTAAAGTTTAAAAAGACAGTAACAGAAGTTTGAGTCATCCGTCCAAAGAGTGAAGGGCAGTAAATTAGCTTTGAGTTCTTTTCGTTTCGTCACAAAATCATGAAAGGTTATTTTATTTTCAAAATATTCTACAGCCGTATATTAATATTCTAATGTAATCGTGAGATTGCGGGTTCGGGGGTTCGAGCCTCAGCTCGGTCCGACGTTGTGTCCTTGGGAAAGGCACTTTACATGAATTTCCCACTTGGCTCGGTCCTATCGGAGACGTACGTTAAACTAGGAGGTCCCGCCCCTTAAATAACCTAACAGTGTTGATAGGGGCGTTAAACTCATACCATTTCACAATTTTTACCAAAATTATAATGGTGTTTCCTTAATTCAACAGGCGAAGAGAGAGTCACGTGGGACAACAGGGCTCAGTTTGTCCTGTCTTTGATTGGATACGCCGTTGGACTTGGCAATGTTTGGAGATTCCCGTACCTAACTCAGAAAAATGGAGGAGGTGAAGTTACCGCTAATCATTTTAAATAAGCATCGTTGTTATTGTTGTTGTTGTTGTTGTTGTTGTTGTTGTTGATGTTGTTGTTGTTGTTGTTGTTGCTGTTGTTGTTGTTGTTGTTGTTGTTTTTCTTCTTCTTTTTCTTCTTCTTCTTCTTCTTCTTCTTCTTCTTCTTCTTCTTCTTCTTCTTCTT